GTAAACCCACCACCCCTCCTCTTACTATGATTCTCCGATCCCTGACGGAGAAACATTAACCCTACACCGTGAATGTGAATGTGAGTGCCCATAAGTGTGATGTGGTGCATTAAAATTGAGGGACATAGGAGACAGGTGGGGGCAAGGCTGATGGTTACAGCACACTGCTGTCCTGCAGCCCGTGCAGCCATAGGCACCTGGAACCTGTTCCCATCTGTCCCACAAGATGTAGGTGTATGTGGTGCTTTAAAATTGGAGAACAGATAAGGATGGGCTCGGGGGCAGCATGGAGGGCTACCGGACAACATGTTTTCTTAAGTATTCATGATTAAATCAAATTTCTGATTCAAAGTTTCTACTAATATCTGTTAAGTAGTTATTTTACCCTGCCTGAGGTCATTTTAGGTTTTAATGTTTTGTGTGAGGCTATTTTTGTTTAAAAGCAATTGTCATCATGAAATAAAATTGTCTATCACATTATGAGGGAAAAAAAAAATCTCGCAGACTTTCATTTTGGATCGCGGCTGGAAAGAATTAAAATCTGCAGATTCCATTTGGGCCTGCCAACAACTGAGAAAAGTAATACTTGATACATATTGTATCCTCATTGAAGGCAATATGGAAACTCAACAAGCTGCCTCCTACCAATCCATCCAACTACTTTTCAACAATAATCAGGGTCTGGCTTACAGGAAGAGGACCTACTCCCTCATGAAGTCCACTGACTCCTCCCAGAGGATCTCAAACTGTCCCCAGGTCAGATGGAACAGTATTGTATGTCTGTCCCTGTGTTTCCTGGATTACTTTCACATTCAGGGGTAGATGAGGCATCCTGATCAGATTGTCACCCACATCAACTGTCTTCTCTGAGTTGAGTTGAGTTGAGTTGAATTGAGTTGCGTTGCGTTGTGTTGAGTTGAGTTGAACTGAATTGAGTTGAGTTTATAAATGTTTATAAACAAATGTTTATAAAAATTCGTGCTCACAGTAAACAGCTGAAAGAATGCAGAACTTTTTTAAAAACTAAAACAATATCTATATATGATTTCCATAGTTTAAAAAATGGAAACAAGTCCCGTGGACTGATTCAATTAAAACAGAACTTTTTTGATGCAATGAGCAAAGGTGTGTTTGGAGAACAAAGGGTGCAGAATTGCTCAAAAAGAACACTTGTCCAACTGTTAAACATGGAGGTGGTTCGATTATGCTTTGGGCTTGTGTTGCAGCCAGTGGCACGGGGAACATTTCACAGGTAGAAGGAAGAATGGATTCAGTTAAATTCCAGCTAATTCTGGAAGCACACGTCACACCATCTGTAAAACAGCTGAAGATGAAGAGAGGATGACTTCTACAACAGGACAATGATCCTAAACAAACCTTGAAAGTCACAGTGAACTACCTCAAGAGGCTGAAGCTGAAAGTTTTGCCATGGCCCTCACAGTCCCTCGACCTTAACATCATTAAAAATCTGTGGATGGACCTCAAAAGAGCAGTGCATGCAAGACAGCCCAAGAATCTCACAGAACTATAAGCCTTTTGCAGGAAGAATGGGTAAAAAAATCCCCCCGAACTAGAACTGAAAGACTCTAAGCTGGTTACAAAAAGTGTTTAGAGGCTGTTATACTTGCCAAGAGGGGTGTTACTAAGCACTGACCATGCAGGGTGCCCAAACTTTTGCTTCAGGCCCTTTTTCTTCTTTTGTTATTTTGAAGTTGTAAAAGATTGAAATTAAAAAGGTTATCTTGCTTAAAATATTAAAGAAATATGGCATCTTTAAAGTGATGACTTTTGGAGATCAGTAGATCTTCTATTTACTAAACTATTCACTGTTAATGAAATTTTGACCAGGGGTGCCCAAACTTTTGCATGCCACTGTTTTTATGTACAACAATAATATACAACACTGCAGAAGTTATACAACAGAAGAATCCCCCAGAAATTCAGCTATCTATCTTTTGCTTTATCAGTTTTGTATTATACAGTTTGATTGCTGCAGGCAGGGTTGCTGTTTGCTTGGATGTGTGTAAGGTTATTGCTGCTCCGTAGACATCGACCTCTTTCCTTGTGATGTAGGAGTGGCAGTTTGACTCTAAGCTCCAGACACCCATGGGGGAACATGCTTATTCAGACATATTCACCATTTCAGGAACACCTAAGGGTTGTGTGAGCTCACCTCTTATTGCACTTTATAATAATTTGTTGAACTGATCTTTCAAATATTTATACTGAAGTTTTAGGAAAATACTAAACTTTTGTCCTTGGTGCTTAAGATGATCAGATATTCATCAGATAGATTTGTAGGAGAGGAATTATCTAATTTATCCTAAGAAAACAAAAGAAAGATTTGTTAGTCCTCCAGTAGAGTTTGAACCTCCTTATTATTCATAACACAGAGGTTGAACAAGGTTTAACCTGTAAATATTTAAAGATCTGTTGATGCTGTCTTATCTTGGAGTGTGCATACAGATGATATCTGCAGTAAGGTACAACACTTATTTAATTGGGAAATTGAGGTCAGTTGGCGCAAACACACAGATTCTGCCATTATCTTTACAATAGTATATATACAGTGTGATGGCATCTGCCAGTATTATGCTTAAATACTTGGACCAAGTTTTCAAACTGCATGGACTAATGTTGTGTCTCGCTGGCAGCACTACAACAGACCTTCCAAATTCCACTTGGCAAATATCAGCTCCCTCAGGTAAGACTGGAGTTTATAGACCATTATTGTTTCTCAGTCTGTCAGATCAGAGTCTGAGCTCTCTGTAGGCCTGGGCTAATGATTCACAGAGGGTGTAATGGAATACAGGCCCTGTGTACCTGTGCAGATGAAGCACTAAATGTGGACAAAAGCACTCGTACTGCCTACACTGCAGCTACACCTTTATGGTATTTCATTGCAATACAAATGTTTGTGATATTGTTTTGTTATGTTTGTGAAACAGAGATTCAATACATATTTCAAAGAAATCTGAGCCCAGTTGTTAAGATGCAGTCTGATCAGATTTTGGATTAGATTGGATCAAATCTTGAAAATGGATTGTTCAAAAGAAAAAAAGGATTCTGATTTCAGATTAAATCACATAATCCCCTCTTGGTTTTGATCTGGATCAAACCTTCAGTATGTGTTGGTCAAAACTCTTGAGTAGGATCAGGATACGTTTTATCCAAAAAATATCAGGATTTTCCTGATCCCAGCAGGAGAAAGGATTCAACAAGGAACAAACTACAGTAAAACCTTTAAAATGGTCAATACATTTATTCATATTTGTTTAACTGTTATTGTGATGAAGTAGAAAGAGAAGACATTAGGCTACACATTAAGCCTCAGTATCAACAAAAATAATTAGAAGTTACAATCTTAAAGATCTCCGTTTTATTCTCTTTGGTGGCTCCTATGGTGACAAGCTGTAATTGCAGTGTGTTTGTCGTCAGACAGGCTTGAAATCAGGCTGGTGAACTTATTCATGTCACCTAGTTTTATGAGTCCTGCAGCTGGCCAGATGAAAGGGTTACCACAGCATAGATGGTGTGTGTGTGTGTGTGTGTGTGTGTGTGTGTGTGTGTATGTTTTGGTGAGTGTTAGAGTGGATTATTAATAACTGTGCGTTGCTTTTGATTTTTCCTGGGAATGTTGCCACAGATACCCAATATGCAGGGGCTTTCATCAGAGTGCCATAGGGTCAATCACCATTCTTACCTCATTCAATTAGAAAGTGGTATAACATTTATGTAAATTAAAATCTTCAAGATTATTACTTTAAATTTTAACTTTCATTTATAACTCTATATCACCTACAACAACAGTCAAAAGTCGTTTCTAACAATTGCGTTCCTCATTTTATCTGACTTAAAGTGACCCCACACCAGCTATTCTGCCTGTTGGTCTTTACAAAGCTGGTAGCTTAGACTGTGACATATAATCCCATTTACTGGTTATCCAGATTTGGTGATCTTGAAAAGTTTGTATCTGGGTGATCTAATTCACTGTTGCTTCAAATCAGTGCCACAAAAGGACTTTTCTCAGCTTTTTTCTTTTCTTCACTCTTGAAAGGGATAAGGGGGTGAATGTGTCCGTGAGTGTTGGGGGGAGGGGGGCGGGGACACTTTACCTGGCCTCACCTCTGAACAGCACCTTTCGCATTTTCAGTGAAAAGATGGACTACCCCTCCAGCTGACAACTCTTTATCCCAAAACAACAGGATACATCTTTAGATAGCCCTTTAATTGCCCAAATCAATGGAGCAGATGAAAGTGTTTTTGTTTCATACATTGCTAAAGTGCTCAAGTGACCTAAAAAATTCATCACAGTGGGTAAGGTCATGGTTTTTTTTACACATTCTAGCACAGTTCTTAAACTTCTTTTTACAAAAGTTTAATTTACACGGTTTCCTTCTAATTCTAATTTACTTCTATAAATACTACATAGATATTATTGTAGCTGAACTTGTGCTGACTACAAAAAGCACCCTGAGACCCCCTCAGTCCCCAGATGGTTGAAAAACTGATACAAAAGTAAAATGGATCATCTGATCTGCAATAGCAAAACATGGGATTTCAAAATCATTCTGATCCAGATTAAACTTTTTGTACAACTGGGCCCTGATGATGAGATCTAATGTATCTGTGAGTACTGACGCTTTGGCCACTACTCCGAGTGGGAATCATCAGAGGCCCCACGGTAAAATATTATCACTGCTCTTAAGACACTGTTTATCTCACTTAAGTCATTTTTATTTGCAGTAACTTATTTTATGATGCTACTGGGCTACCAAAAGTTAAGTTGTATTTGGAAAACAATAATTTATAGAATACAAAATCAATACTTGGCATCCATGTGATGATACTATATTGCCACACAAAAATATCGTGATACCATTCTGTATCAATTTTTTCCCCACCCCTAGTTATTACCTATGATGATACTCTTGACAACTGAGAGTTGGATAACAGATTGTTAAAGTGACTCGCTACAGACTCACAGAGCAGAGACCAGCCAGATTTTAGCATCCTGAAAACAGGATGAAGCTCAGATTTATTGGTTTACAAAGTACACAAAATTCCTTCTATATCCATATATCATTTATAGAATGCCTTCCATTAATTGTGCATCATAATGCAGCTGTAACATTAAGACTCAACATCATAAGGTGTACATGCATAATTAAATAAACAGAAAACACATTGGTATTAGAACATATAAAATTGCATAACTCATCCTACCAGCATTTTTTTTAATAAAAAAGAATTATTACTAAGAAGAGGTTAGACAAGCAGTAAATAGAGAGGGGGAAGATGCTTCAGTTATTCCTACCCACTTTTTAAAATCAAATTCAACACTTTTTGTTTTTTTCACTATTCAGATGAAAAAGCAAAGTCATGCTTTGTTTTCTGAACACAGTGTGTGTGCTGTCTGCACAAAGACCGACACACAGTGGAGCACATAAAGAAAGAATAAGGAGGGGAGGAAGGGAGGATTCTGGTCATATACATTAGAACAATACTGTGGTCCCAAACACTGAAACAATAACACCACCCTGAGCCAAAATATAAGGACAGCTCCAATTCAGAAATACATTAACAAAATGCATAGAAAAGTCTGCATCCAAATCGTCTGATTTGAATCATTGGTTAACAAATGAGAGTCAGCAGGGAGAGGACATGAGGGGAAATAAACACAACCTAAGTATGTACATCCAAACAACAGTAGAGCACTATTATTACATTGTTTTGTTGCTTTTTTTCTCCTTCTGTTTGGAGCTCAAGTTTGTTGGTATGTTTGTGCTGAGGTAACACTTCTCCAGCAGATGATGCTTCTGTCTTTACTTGTGTTCCAGTCGCAGCAGCTGCTCTTTACCGTTAATGGTTAATGACCGAAGCTGCCCATCCTCCTCCACCTCCACCCGCTCCTGACCATTCTCCACAATTCTGGAAGAAGAGAGGGTGAGGAAGAGGAGAGAATGTACATGTGAGTTTAAACCAGTCTTTACTGGCACAAATCCTCCTAATCAGAAGAAAAAAAAGCATGTTGTCAGCTGATGATTAGGACATGGAAACTTGAACATCGCTGGCTTCATTCATCCGTTAAACAGATGTTTATTTGTCATTCAGACAAAGGTCTCTATTGAGCAAATGTTGTGTAATGGCTTTATTCAAACATGTCAGCACAGTTACAGAAAGAGCTACAATGCTTATGTGATGTTTGTCATCTGGTCCACAGGGGGGGAGCAGTCACTGCTGGAGAGCAGCTGGACACATGCCTCCAATTCTCACTAGTCTTAAGCAACCCAGATCCCCAAATACATTTCCTAACAAATATGACCACCTACTAACCTTTAACCATTATGTTGGATATTCAGACTGTAAGCAGTTGGCATTGAGGAAAGATAAAATATCTATAGTGGCCATAACAGTTCAACGCACTGCACTTTCAGAAAACAAATAAAGAACAAGTTTCCATCAGACTTTAAAGACAGACGGTGTTAGGTGCCGTACACATGCCGCGTCTTTAACCACCTAGAAAACGTGAGGTCAGGCACTGGGTGCTACTCTAGTGCCTCTTCTGTGACAGCTTTCAAGAGTGTGATGGCAGGTTGCGTCTGAGGTTGCTAAGCAACCCTAACAAGCAGCGTATCATAGCCCATTTACCTGAAATCCTGAGTGCAGGATTGATCTTCTTCTAGGCACTGTTTGTGTGTAGGCCTATTGACGGCTGTGATTGTTTGGTCCCCGTCCCATGACATGCGGTGTGCACTGCTGTGTTCAATAAGTTGAACCCAGGTTATCTCAGGGCACAGCCGTTGCGCCCTGAAGAACAGCCGCTTAGGATCAGGTGTGTGCCCAACAGCATCGCTCTGGCATGTGATTGCTTTTGCATCTACATTGAAAACAATGGATTTGAGGGTGCAAAAACGTGGCATGTGTACAGCTCCTTACAGAGGTGTGATTTGCTGAAGTTGACCTCTCCTCAGTTAGAGAACATTAGCTACAGATATTTGTTTAAAGGACTGCATAATTCTGATATTACTAAAGATATTAGCCACACAGTGTTAGCCTTTTACCAGTTACTTGTGTCTAATAACTTCTTAGTGTCTCCTGAAAGTTTGCATTGTGTTGTGTATGACTTACAATGTTTCTGTCTGTGCTTGTTTTCTGTATTTGCAGCAAGTTTCTTTGTGCCACTTATGTATTGTGAAATTGGTAAATGTGTTTCCTAGTTTGTTGTGTTTTATCTATTTGCATTTCTTTCCTACATGCCATGTATGTGCTGTCCAAGTGGGGAAGATGTATTTTGTTTTTGCTTGTGTGTTATAAAATTGCTGTGTGCTCAGCTCTCATGACCACCATGCTTTTGCAGCACAGAAAAGAATGTCCTCAACTACTTTCAATTGGTTCAATGCAAAGTGTTCACTAGTTAATTAAACTGATTTTAAAGGGATCATTTGGATTTTTTGAAGTAGGGCTGGATGGAGTACTTATCTGTAGTAAGTGTATTGCATACATACAATGTTAGTCAGCGTGTCCCCAGTGTAGAGAAGTGTAGACACCTAAAAAAAAACTGTGAGTGTTTAAGTATGCACTATGTTTTGAATACTTTCACCTACTTTACCCTTCTGTCAAACAGCCCATTCTGACGGGGTAGCCAGTAACAGTTTCAGTTCCCCATCTATACTCTTGTCAAAGCCACCAGACTCCATTGAGAAAAACAATAATCTTAGCATGCTAAACAGTCACTGTGTGACTTCGATGAATCTGAACTAATCTTTTAAAACACCAAAGTCACACAATAACACAAACTAACCAGTCAATTGAGGCACCAGTAGCTCCCGTGTTCAGTGATGTTAAATCACTGTTTTTCTCAAAAGGAGTCTGGCTTTAGAGAGAGATATAACGGCTTCAGTTTCTCATCTGAAATTGCTATCTGATGGTAAAGTACCACGGGGAGATTATTCTAAATATAGCAAACACTTAAACTAATGTCTTTTTTTTTGTTTTTAGGTGGCTAAAATACATTTTGCTGCTGGCCCTCCACAGCAGTACACTGCTTACCTTCTGGGTCAGTACACCAGCCTACGTCTCCAAACTGGGGGTGTGCTGACTGACATGTATGGTATGTGATAACTTGACTATGGAAAATTACCTCAGACAACCCTATTTTAAAATATCTGAACTATCCTGTCAAGCATTTTTTTTTGCTTCTTTGCAGTTTGGTTAATATTTCAGTAATACTGGATGAATTTTAGTTTTTCTACATGTCTAATGTCTGTCTACTATTGTACATCGTTTAATCCTTACTAGACAGCAACGAATAAATAAAGTCATACCATGCATACTGTACTGCTGTGTAGAGAAAGTATAAAAGTTTACAAACACAGTTTCTAATCACTGTGGTACCCCAGCTGGCTAGTATCTACCTTTTAGTAGTGATCTTCCTGCCATTGATGATCTTGGTGGAGGTGGACACAGAACGGAAGTTGCCCATTCCTCCTCCACCTCCTCCTCCTCCAAAGGAAGTGGAGGAAAAAGAAGTGAAGCCTCCACCTCCCAGACTGCCCATGGTTGTCATGTGACCCATGTGACCCATATGACCCATGGTGCTCATAGAGCCAAAAGAACCAAAGCCTGAGATAAACAGGACACAGAAAGAGAGTCTCATTTAGACAGGTGGTTTGCAAACAGTGTGTGATTTTTCTGCTTGTGTGTTCCATATTTTTTAATATATTCACTGGTGCACATCTCACCTGGGTCAAAAGGTGTGAAGCCAGCACCAAAGGGAGGAAAACCAACAAAGCCCCCGAAAAATGAGCCACCTGTCCGGTGGCTGCGGTTTGCCCGACTTTGGTGCCGCCGGCCACTGCCAAAAAATGGATCATCACTAAATGGATCTGCACCTGAGAGAGCAGGACAGGAAACAAAAGGAGTGTGAGGAGTAAAGTAAATCAACACTGGTGCAGATGTCTGAGACTGCAACCCCCTTACCTCACAAACCATAGACTTTGATTTATTATTACACCATTTTAATGCACAAAATGAAGAAACTGGCAGGATTACATTTCACTGGAATTGTACCTGACATGATTTCATGTGACAAATAAACTGACTGATTACCAAAAAAGTCTGCAAATGGGTCACTGCCTCCAAAGAATTCCCTGAAGACGTCGTCTGGGTTGCGGAATGTGAATGGTTCATGGAAATGATCTCCGTTGTGGAAATGGCCCCCTGAAACAGCATGTCATTTAAAAGTGATAAACACAGAGCAGAAACAAATAATAACAAAATCTATTCAAAACTGCTGGGTCAGCTTTTATTTCCCACCATTATAATACTTAGTGCTGCAGAGGCTGCACTACAATTCTGTTGGAATAAAAAAAAATGTCTAATCTTATCAGAGCAGTCAGACAGAAGTCTGTTTGATAGAATGTTTTGCAGAAGGTTCAGACTACAACCACAAGTGTGCAGCTCTTCTTTCTGGTATAAGGCACAGAACTCTTTTTGAACTGTAACTGCTACAAACACTGTCATTAAATAAATACTGTGATTTCTGAGGAAGTAGCACAACTGTTTGCAAGATGAGTTTTTAAGAGTTTTAATGACATGCTAATTTTCCTCAACAAGAACAAGTAGACAGAAATCAGGACGCTGTGAGTCTGAGATCATTTTTTTTACGTTCTTTTCTAATGTTGCAGCATTACATGTTTGAGCGTTTTTTGTTTTTTTTTTGTAAGGCTTTATTAGCCTGAGCGATTTTTATGAGCGTGCTTTGCATGTAATCTGTTATTCAATATGCTTCATATTAAGTTTAGGCCTGCACATCTTCATGTTTAATAGGCTATGCAATACTGTCAGAAAATATGCATTATGTTTTTGTAGAAATAAAGCTTTGATTGAGGAAAAAAACATATCTGACATTGTTGTGTATGAATTAAGTTTTTATGTTGTTTTTAAATCAGGATAAATCGAGGAACTGATCGTTAATATTACCAATGCTCGATTAAGGAAAGTGCTTACAATTTGCAACCCTACTCCAGAGAGAACACAGAGAGCTAGTGGCCTATACAACGATGGTGCGTCATGATTTTACATCATTTAAATCATCAACCTGCAGAGCTGTAGAGCCCCAACAGACCCACAGTTTTAGACATACGCATGCGTGAGGTCCAGGCCTAGTTTCAGACATGCTCATGCGCAAGTTCAAGAGGGTGGAGGAACTGTCAGTAATTTTTTACACGAGCTAACACTGCCAGGCTGCTTAGGGGCTTAGAGCCAGGCCACTGGTCATTTTTGTCCCCAAGGGTTTCATGCCTCTGCCCTCGGGTCAAGCGGACTTGTTCCTCCAGACCAGAAGACAGTCTAGCATTAACCCTAGTCAAAGTATCAACAGACAGCAATGTTTTAAATTAACATTTTGAAGTGGAAAAAGGCAACTTTTAAAGTAACTAGCTACACTAGCATAAGCCGGCAGCCAAAGCCAACAAATATCTATGATGATGATGATGTTATATTTACAGTAACAACCTTTAAAATATATTTAAGAATCTCCGTCCACACAACATAAAACTGTGTACATGTACAGGTCTAAAACTGTGTCTCTCCAGCTCTGCAGACCGATGCCTCTTGAAACCATTGCACTTAGTCGCATCTACCTTTTATCAATACACCAACTTTTCCACCTTCCCCAAGCATAAAAACTTAGCTGCAATATTTCAAAATTTCTATTTATAATTTTTCCACTGAAGGTTTTTTATGCAAAAGTGAAACATAAAAGCACATAATGCAGTGAAACATCCTGTAAAAGTGACCTGGAAAACTTGTCATGTTTGATAAAAATATTTTCTTTCAAACTAAAACCATTTGTCCACACAGACTACAAAAATAAATGATTTCAGTTTTAAGCTTTCCTGAAAAGGAAATTACCTCTTCCTCCATTGTTCCCTGTCAGTCCCTCTTTGCCATAGCGATCATATATGCTCCTCTTGTTGGCTGGAAGAGGAAAGAGAAAAATTTCAAAGTAGAACCACAACAGAAAGTCAGTAACAGGAGGAGCCAGAGAAGGAAGAGAAACTTTGCTGGTATCAGCTTTACTCCATTAACTGCTGTACAGTGTTTATTTGCAGACTTGTACAGAGAGTTGTGGTACAAACCATCAGACAGAACTTCATATGCCTCTGACAGCTCCTTAAACTTCTTCTCAGCCTCCTCCTTGTTCTCTGGGTTTTTATCAGGGTGCCACCTCAACGCCAGCTTTCTGTAGCTGCACGAGGACAGAAGGAAGAAGAGTAAGACTTCAGTGAAAAAACAAAAAACTGTGCTCATGAACTGCTTATGCTTAATGCTTCACATTAAAGGAAGCTTAGCTGTTTTTCAACCTGGATCCAATTTACCATGTTTTTGTACAACAAGTTTTGAAATTGGCCCAGCAGCGACGCAAAAGATGCAAAGTAATCCCCAAAGGCAGATGTTCGCTGTCGACCTACAGTACAGGCCAAAAGTTTGGACACACCTTCTCATTCAATGCGTTTTCTTTATTTTCATGACTATTTACATTGTAGATTCTCACTGAAGGCATCAAAACTATGAATGAACACATGTGGAGTTATGTACTTAACAAAAAAAGGTGAAATAACTGAAAACATGTTTTATATTCTAGTTTCTTCAAAATAGCCACCCTTTGCTCTGATTACTGCTTTGCACACTCTTGGCATTCTCTCCATGAGCTTCAAGAGGTAGTCACCTGAAATGGTTTTCCAACAGTCTTGAAGGAGTTCCCAGAGGTGTTTAGCACTTGTTGGCCCCTTTGCCTTCACTCTGCGGTCCAGCTCACCCCAAACCATCTCGATTGGGTTCAGGTCCGGTGACTGTGGAGGCCAGGTCATCTGCCGCAGCACTCCATCACTCTCCTTCTTGGTCAAATAGCCCTTACACAGCCTGGAGGTGTGTTTGGGGTCATTGTCCTGTTGAAAAATAAATGATCGTCCAACTAAACGCAAACTAGATGGGATGGCATGTCGCTGCAGGATGCTGTGGTAGCCATGCTGGTTCAGTGTGCCTTCAATTTTGAATAAATCCCCAACAGTGTCACCAGCAAAACACCCCCACACCATCACACCTCCTCCTCCATGCTTCACAGTGGGAACCAGGCATGTGGAATCCATCCGTTCACCTTTTCTGCGTCTCACAAAGACACGGCGGTTGGAACCAAAGATCTCAAATTTGGACTCATCAGACCAAAGCACAGATTTCCACTGGTCTAATGTCCATTCCTTGTGTTTCTTGGCCCAAACAAATCTCTTCTGCTTGTTGCCTCTCCTTAGCAGTGGTTTCCTAGCAGCTATTTGACCATGAAGGCCTGATTGGCGCAGTCTCCTCTTAACAGTTGTTCTAGAGATGGGTCTGCTGCTAGAACTCTGTGTGGCATTCATCTGGTCTCTGATCTGAGCTGCTGTTAACTTGCCATTTCTGAGGCTGGTGACTCGGATGAACTTATCCTCAGAAGCAGAGGTGACTCTTGGTCTTCCTTTCCTGGGTCGGTCCTCATGTGTGCCAGTTTCGTTGTAGCGCTTGATGGTTTTTGCGACTCCACGTGGGGACACATTTAAAGTTTTTGCAATTTTCCGGACTGACTGACCTTCATTTCTTAAAGTAATGATGGCCACTCATTTTTCTTTAGTTAGCTGATTGGTTCTTGCCATAATATGAATTTTAACAGTTGTCCAATAGGGCTGTCGGCTGTGTATTAACCTGACTTCTGCACAACACAACTAATGGTCCCAACCCCATTGATAAAGCAAGAAATTCCACTAATTAACCCTGATAAGGCACACCTGTGAAGTGGAAACCATTTCAGGTGACTACCTCTTGAAGCTCATTGAGAGAATGCCAAGAGTGTGCAAAGCAGTAATCAGAGCAAAGGGTGGCTATTTTGAAGAAACTAGAATATAAAACATGTTTTCAGTTATTTCACCTTTTTTGTTAAGTACATAACTCCACATGTGTTCATTCATAGTTTTGATGCCTTCAGTGAGAATCTACAATGTAAATAGTCATGAAAATAAAGAAAACGCATTGAATGAGAAGGTGTGTCCAAACTTTTGGCCTGTACTGTATGTCCACTAAAAGTGTTTGTTTTTGCCACTGAGAGACTCAGATTGTGTCTGGTAACAATATGGAAAGGATCCTACAAAGAAATGTCATGTTTTTTTATTACTTTGTGCTGATCCAGCCTGTTACTGTGTGTAACCACATGTTGCTCAATGAGAAGTCTTGTTCTAAAATCTTGCTAGAGGTGACTTGTGTGAGGAAAAACAACGATGGAAACGTTGGTGAAAGTCAGAGAGAACGCATTACCTGCACACCTTTGGAGTACTGGTTGTGCACGTTCTCAGAAATTAACGTGATGTGCCAACAAGATGTAATACCAGGGTTTCCTCACATTTACATGCACGGAATTTCAAAAGTTGTTCATGACTTCTCAAGAACCCATAATGATTTTCTTGTCTTGTCCCACTTGCCATGGGTTTTTCAAACATATCATGATTCAAACTCTTTTCAAACATAATTGCAGCTAGCTGTCATACACTAATAGAGAGAGGGACTGTGGGGAGAAAATTACAAAATGTATGTGATGGTAAACAATACGCTGTCGCACACTGACACATATTAGAGCAATGCTTTGTCAATAGCTTCAGAAATTAAATTTGCCCTTATGTTACGTCACGCGGAAGGTTATCCTCGGAAGATTACTGTAACAATTTATTTTTATTTTTCTAATTCCATGACTTTTCCAGGTGTTTTAATGAACATGGAATAAAGCTAATTTGTGTACTTGTGTTTGATACTATCGCTATTAAGCCATGTGTGCTGTAATACACCCATTAACAGTCTGGGCAGTGTTGGTGGAATGACAGAAAAAAACTCACCATTGTTTAGATGTGCTTTATACACACAATGGTGCTGCTGTCACTTTTTCTGCCGTGATCTGCGCTGATGTCAGAATTAACAATACATCTCCTTGAGTGTTGCTGTGTTTATTGTTTACATTGTGCAAATCTTGAAGTTCTATACGGTTTAAATTCTCTGGTGTGTCCTCTAGTGGAATCCTGCAGTAACGTGTGGTGCAAGTATGTGAAAAATTCCATTCACGACGCAGCCAATTGTCTACGCAAACCTACAGTTAAAAAGCAAGTCTACAGCCAGCCTTAGCCTTATCTAAAAGATTTATAATGTCATGACTGTATATTTACCTGTTTCAATATTTAGCAACAATGTGTCAAAGTCCACAAGATTTCAGAATGTGACTTCTCCTTGAGCAAGACTTGGTCACACTAACAAACAGGAGCAGCGATAGGTAAGGAAAAATCAATCAATCAATCAATCAATTTTATTTATAAAGGCCAATATCACAAATCACAATTTGCCTCACAGGGCTTTACAGCATACAACATCCCTCTGTCCTTATGACCCTCGCAGCAGATAAGGAAAAACTCCCCAAAAAAAACCCTTTACCAGGGAAAAAAACGGTAGAAACCTCAGGAAGAGCAACTGAGGAGGGATCCCTCTTCCAGGACGGACAGACGTGCAATAGATGTCAAAAAAATTTCATTTCTCTGTATGGTCTTTTCCGTATTGTTGTCAGACACTATAGATAACAATCTGGGCCTGTCAGTGACAAACACAAACTTTTAGTTGACTAAATAAAAAGGTGCACAATTAGGGATAGGGAGTAGGGATACCATAGGGATTACATTGTTTCTGTTACTGTTTCACCGCTGCAGCTGCAGCACTCTCTCTAGACCAATGTCAAAAAATGTTGTCTCCATTAGTCACTTCGGCACAAAACACATGCAATAATCAACATGGCCTGTGTTCTTAGAATGTTGTACAGATGATGGTTCCCAAGGTTAGAACAGAGGTTAGAACATTATCTCCTTGCAATAATGTACACAAGGATCTGAAATTGTCAGAGCTGATTCACTATGGAGACTTTTAAGCCAATTTTAAGGCATCATGAAAGTAGCATGCTTGGTCAATGTGACTGCTCCAAAATGTTCATTTTAAGTGGGTGAGTGTGTGTGTATGTATGCAGAAGCACTTTGTCATGACATTCATGAGAGTTCTAATACTTTTATACTATTTTGATAGTTAAAGATACTTGTTTTAATGTATTTCGTAATAATTGTCCTTTAAATCTGTATTGCTGTCATATCCTGTTTTGGAATACTGAATTTCACACCTGCACCAACATATTTACCCTCAGGTACAAATAAAGAAATCTTGAACCTTGAGCCTGATTTACCTGAAATTTTACCTGTTTATGCATTATAACATTATAACATGTTTTTTTTTGTTTGTTTGTTTTGTTTTGTTTTTGTAGTGTGTGACAGTTGTACTTGTTGCTGCCCTCTTGCCTAGGTAATTCGAGAAAAGGAGACGTTTAATCTCCATGAGACTTTTCCCTGGTAAAGCATTTATATAAAAACCTTTAGATGTTAAAAATGTTATACATGAAAAATTCATTACATCTGGTCCTTTTATTTCAGTGTATTTAGCAACTCCACTGCTATTGGAAAGTTCATTTAAATAAAAATGAACAATGTTAGTTAATTCATCTTACGTTTGTCACACCTTGATTTTATTTTGTTTGATGAAAGAGAAAAAATGTGAAAAAAATGCTCAGTAATAAAGTTGTCAGTAATTGATGAGGAACAACAGTGAATAAAACAAGAAAGCTGAACATGAAAAGAGTTGAAGGAAGTCCTGTGTATTATACATAATAAGTTGGGAAGTTAGATGATCATATTTATGAATTAGCACAAAATAAACTTTAATCCCTCTGCAAATCATGATCTGTGAGCCCTCCGGAAGAGAATTAAAACTTTACCTGAAGTTTTTGGCTGACACTTTTCAGCAGGATGTGCCCATATCTGTCTGTTAGACTCAGCTCTTTATGGCAGCTAAAGTTAATGACGCACACTGGGAGGTAGCCTGATGTTACTTGGAGTAATAACAGATGTCACCTCTCTAGCCACATTGCCCCCAGGTGACATTAAAGATTTACTCTACTTAGTCCCAACTCAAACACAGTGCCGTTTGTCCCACTCTTAGTTGGAGTCTACATCAGAAGAAAACAATCAGCTGGAGCTGAAAATGAGCAGCTTGAAGACGCTGAGCACAGGAATCCGTAAATCTCAGATCCACTCACTGCTTTACAAATGTGTCCCTTGAGACTCTTTAATTGTGAGCTGCAGATTGATTACTCTGTTAGTTTGAACTAACACAGAAGTTTTGTTGTTGAAGCTCCAAAGGACCAGCCTACAGATATTCATTCATTAGTGGTACAGCTGCCAGCCGGGGCCTTTGGAGGACAACAAGATGATAGAACTGCTGTGTAGATATCTGCTGAAGTGTTTTAGAACATCACAGCTAAGATATAAAATTTAAAAACATTTAGCAACTCACGCTTTCTTTATGTCCTCTGCGGACGAATCTCTCCGAACTCCTAAAACCTGGTAGTAGTCCACCATGATGAGTGGATGCAGGGAAGAACTTCAGTGAGCCTGATGAACCTGAAAGAACAAAAAGAGCTGCTAACTAGTGTTCTGGGTTGGAAATTAACTTTTTTGTCCACCTGTGGCTGGTGGATTCCAAACTACCCCAGCAATTCAATTGATTACCATTGTTTTTATTGGCTGGAGAGTAAAGCAAATCTGCTGCTAATTTCCAACCCTGCCAGTGCATAGACTGTTTATAAAGATGGATGACATGAACAGACAGAAGCTTCACTTCTGTACAGTATATATACATGCACAGTGCTAGTATTACACAGACAGTAGCTTTAAACTAATATACCTGCCAGCCAAATGCCAACACAGCACTCGTGACTGTCAGTACCATGAACTATATGAGCTGCATAACATCACCTGTGTCAGATCAGACTGGACTGTTGTCCTCAACTATTTTACAGCATCTCTGTGATGGCACAACCAGTGTTAATTTTTTAGACTTTTTTTCCATGATGAAAATGAGATGATGATGAGCTACAAATAGATCTTGATAATAAAAACTAAGACGAAATCTATGTTTCATTTTTGTTGATGATACATGACGAAAATGTTACTGGTGGACTATCAGACACTGAAAGCCAAGAATGGCCGTGCTTACAATTATCTTAAAATGCCACAGGGTTGTAAACTCCAGTAAATAGTCTGCATCATATTTCATTAGCCAGCAAAAACACAGTCACACTGCAGCAGCATCAGCCATTGGTGTGTGGTGTGAGCTGTAGCCGTAAATAATCAGCCATGTGTGTCTGACCATGGATGGTGGAGCTGTTGAATGGACTTGTGGAGTTTGTTAGTTGCAGCGGTGGCTGTTAGCAGCTCTGATTGTTAGCCGCTTAATGGCAGTGGAGCAAGCAGCCACCAGCTGCTGGACTTCACAGCTGATCCTTGCAGGACTTCACTCAGATCAGGACTGAAGGTTTATGGTTTGATGCTGTTTGACAGGCAGGTAGGAGTCTCAGTTATCTGTCAGTGTAGCTGTGCTATAAGTAAACAGTCTGAACTCACATCAGATTTCTCTGACAGAGATGAGGGTTTAGTTTTAATCACTAACTCTGTGAGAGGACATGAGTTTAAATCTCCAGACTAACATGTTGCAGATTAAGAAAGATCTTTAATTAAGTAAGTTTTTGCATCTAAACAGTGAGATGGATAAGTCAGATAAGTTTACAATGAACCTGGGTACAAATCCTTGTTGTCTGAGAATTATTTGTGACATAATGACTAAAAGTTGACAAAAATGTTTTGAATTTACATCGACTTAAACTATGAAGGATAAAAGTGTCTAAAATGTGACTAAAACTAACAAGCATTTTTGTCTCAAGACTAAATCTAAATAGTTAAAAATTAATACTGGGCACAACTATGTTAGTGGAGTATTACATTAATATTACATAATCTATATATTCAACAATATCAGTGTATTGATTTTACTAAGAAGAGCTAGATTCAAAAGAATATTAGAATTGACAATATAATGTGATTAAAAACTAATATAGGGAGTTACTGCAATTTGTGTTTTACACATTACAAGTGTTTGGTAACAGTGCAACAAAGTTCATTTGGCTGAACATCATTTGTATTACTGTACATGTGACTTTGGGCATACATTTACCATTGTATAATACATTATATTTTGGAAAACTATTTTGTTAATATTGTGATAGTGGTTTCAAACACAATAGAACATAATAGGGCAAGAGATTATATTGATAATGTGAAATGAGACTAGATATCATCTTAGATTTTGGATATGGTAATATGCTAAGTGTTGTCCTGTTTTAAAAGTTGCATTAATCTCATCATGTTCAAGTATTTTGTGAAAGCACCAGTCAATTCTACAATATCATCACAGCATCAATATCCAGGTATTTGTTCAAAAATATTGTGGTTTTTCATTTTTTTCATATCCAGCCCTACATTTTAATTAACAAATTTGAAAATGTAGGATAGGACATGATAAAATGTGTGAAGTAAAGCAACATTTTGGCTTGTGATCTGTTATAACTAAGTCTACTTGTGCCCCCTTATCACAGGTTGCCTATGTCTCTGTGTTGTCAGTGCACATGGGAGAAGTTTTTCCTTACAGGCTTCCTCCCAGAGAGCCCTTTCTGACAGAAATCTATGTATTCATTTTAACCAAAACCACCACTTTTTTCTCCTAACCTTACCCAAGAAATCAATTTCTGGTAGAAGACCCTCTAGGTAAACTTCTCCCAGCTGCGCCATGTGCAGCTCCACCAAAGAGAGAGATGTTCTCTTCTTACATTGTTTCATTTTAATGTGCATGTGTTTAACAAAGGCTCCTTTGTAGCTACTGGGATATAATGGAGCCTCTGGTACACAGAGTCAGTCTGAACTGGTCTAAAGCAGCAGCTAAAAAGAAAAAGGTGGAACTGATTCAAAGAGGACAATGAGGACACTCAAGAACCAAATTTTGATGACTTTGTCAATGTCCTTAAACTCAACAGGATTCTTTGTAGATGATGATTTGTCTTGTTGGTTACCATATTGTATTTATGTGTCAATCATTGTATACAGTGCAAACGCTATTTAAATTTCAGAAAGCTCACAACTGCACACTAGTTAAAGTTTGCATAATTCTGTGATGACATATACAGTTTATAATGTTATTACAATGTAATGTACTAATGTACAGTGTTATGTTATCCCTGTATGCAGCATCAACACTATTCTTATCAAAATGCTCAGTACTGTACACTGATCAACTTAACATAAGGCTCACTGTGATGCGTGGGAAGTTTGGTGCACTAATGAGTTGAGATTTTAAGTATTTTAGAGCCAATACTTACAATGTTGCCATGACTGTACATTAGGGGTGCAACAGTATGAGATTTTCACGGCATGATAACTGTCTCAGAAAATATCACAGCTTTATCATATCATGGTATTACAAAATGTATAGTATCAGTCAGAATGACCCTTTAAGGAGTGAAAATGGAAGGCTTATTTTTAGTTGAGCAAATGTTTAATTATTATAAATGAAACTTGTGAACATTTCTTTAATGGAAGTATGTGTAAAAAAAAGTCTCCGCTTTGAAAATAACTAAAATAAAGGGGAGATTCTCCGTCCAGTTGCATTGTTTTACAATACAATAGATAAGTAAATGTACGTGGTATGATAACTGTCAACTTTTCTATCACCTTATACCTTGCAACCCTACTGTACATTGAAACTGGAATTTATTATACATACACATATATATACACACGCGTGTGTGTGTGTGTGTGTGTGTGTGTGTGTGTGTGTGTGTGCAATACAGGTTAAAGATTTCTGCAGCCCTTAACTACAGGGAGATCATTTTTAAATGCTTTTACACAATGCGAATCATGTCAAATGTTGCAGCAAAGTCATGCCACAATGCTTACATCAATCACATGCACTTTCTTAAGAACTTTTCTGTAACGTTAATAATCCTGGTCTTGTTTACAACTAAGTACAACAGCTCCTCTCAGCCCTAGAGCTCTCTGTAGTATGGATGCTCCATATTGACTGTTGTACCAACAACTGACAATAACCACAGTAGAGATGCTGGGCATGGAATAACAACTGAACTGTGTCTGTTTACTGATTCATTACGACAAGATAAAACTTTAAGGTCAAATACATCGTTAATTTGAAGAAATGTAACTAAGACTTAGCTAACTGAATGACTTAACACCAACCGTGTAAACCTAACGGCGACACATCCCGGTTCAGCTTTATGACTGACTCTGTGACCCTGCTAGCTAGCAAACATTAATAAACACAAAGCGCCTTGAACGGTAGCGTTAACGGGAACTACTTACAGCACAGCTTAAAGATAGAAGATGTCTAACAGTTTCCAATGAAGATCATTATCTCACTGAGCTGGTTTTGTTTTTGGCTGTAGCTGCTGATCTTAACGAACCTACCGTAAGCTGGTTAACGTTAGAGCGTTAGCTTAGCTCTGCTCAGCAGTCAACATCAGTAGCCACAGTAGCTGTGTTGTCAAACGCTCTTACCCAATTCAAGTCCAGCTGTCCGTGCTCTCAGCAGATATGGAGGTCAGACAGACAGCCTGTTATTTAGGTTGTGTCAGAACCTAAACAGGTTTATTCATGTTCAGCAATCTGCAGGTTTTCACATTAGACGCAACGTCCTGTTTCTGACTCCACCATCTTCTTCTTCTCCTCCTCAAATGTTTAACAGCTGCCTGCTCGCATTGCTGCCATCTTCTGGAGGTCGCTCCCACCTCCGGGGCTGTCCCAGGATCAGCACCTTGGACAGCAACCTTGACATAGGGTATTTTAATCACCGTCACATATTTCCTCACCAGGGGCGTTTCTCGGATTTGAGGACATTGGGGGCTTAGCCCGGACCCTGGGATTTTTTTGGTTTTTCATGGAACAAGCTCTATTTTGATGCTTTTTATGCACTCTGGCGTATTATTTACCCCCCCAAAAGTTTTCTCTCCCCCATATTAACTGATTTATGATGTTTCGATTTCAATTTAATGCTACTAATACTCCTGTTCATCTCAGAGGGTAATATTGTACTCCACCACATTTACTTGTCTGCTTTAGTTATTTTTGAAGATTTACATTATTAATACAAAATATAATCAACTAATACATGATGATGTGTAATTACAGATGCTGCTGCATCTGCCCTGCACTGGTGTGTCTCATTACTGGCCAGCCTAACCTTTTAAAGGCGGTGTATGTAAGAATGTGGCCAAAACGGTTACTGCACTCAAATTCAAAATACTGCCGCGAGTCGTGTCCGCCCCCCCTCCCATACAGATTCGAGGTTGCTGGACAGTGGCACGCTGGAGACTGATTTGTTTGCCCACGGACGGCTGCCGTGGCAGGGCCGCGTCACCGCGTCCTTGATCTTCGGTTTTCCAGCGGACCATTCGAGCAAGTCCGGCTTCTCTGCCGCTAACGCTGCTGCTGCTGGGATACAGTGGAGGAGCTGGCTGCTAATGCTATGTACCGGGACACTGCTAATGCTGCTTGCCGTGCTGCTATAGCTCAGTCGTAACTGTGACTGATGCTGAGACTCTACTGACTGCGTGACTGGTAGACGGCGGTGGATGGCGCAACAGACCAAAACACAAACTCAAAACATAAACATGATTTGTGGACCGTAAAATATTTTTTTAAATGCGAATATTCTGGCTGTACTATTGTTGTCGGTGAGATCAGTATGTTATATGAAAATTATTCCTTAGTCTCTGTGACATATTAGGAGGATTTTATGACTATTTCCTTTATATTTCTTACATATAGCTCCTTTAAGTTTGTTTATATGGAAACTAAGGCTGTTAAAACAATGGGGAGGTGTGTGATTGTGTTCATGTGGCATGACTCCTGGCTACATTAGCCGCTGGCTTGGAGAAAACGGCTGAGAGGTAAATGATTTGAATCACTCAGGGATCGGGGTTATGTTGTTCACAGAGTGATTCGTTCAACAGGTGATTAGTCACGCAGTAGGCAGTCCCTCCCTGGACCCTGGCTGCCTCATGACTTGCGAGTGGATTCATCGTTCGCACGGACCAAATCGGCAGTTCCACCATCTGCCTGCACGGTCGCTGCTGAGCTCAACTGAACTGAGAAATGAACAAATCAGTTCTGGAAGTGATTCATTTCAGTACGTTCACTCAACAGATTTGTTCTTTTGAACGATTCGTTCGCGAACGACACAACACTAATCTATGCACAAATTAAAACTACAGTAGTGGTGGTGGAGCAGCTGGAGAAGAAAGAAAGTGGAGAAGGACAAGAAAAAAGCATCCAGTGATGCTTTAACCTCCAATTAGTAGTTTTACCACACAATATTACAACTATAATTTTATTATTTTCTTGAAGCAGAGGTGATCAGGATGACAACAGAAGAGCACACAAAGGTTGAGGACAGAAACACAGCACACTGCATTAAAAAAAAAATCTAAGTAATTAAATGTCTGGAAAAACGATTTTTCTAAGTTATCATGTCTGAAGGTGCTGAAGGTGGAAATAGTGTTGTGATTATTGGCTTTATTTGAGAAGCTTTGCAGTGGCCATGGAGGTCATGGTAGTCATGGTGGTCATGGTTATAGTGGGCACACTGATGTCTTTGAAGATGGGCTGTGTGACACCAGCGTAGGATACTTTGTTTTCGCTCAGAGTCCCAATGATCATCTGGCGCATTTCCCTGCTGGCATCACCACGCACTGCCAGCAACGCCTGGATGTGTTCCTCCCTACGGAGAGAAGGAGGGCCAAAAAACCTCAGTGTTAAGGCAATGTGGCATCAACCTGCTTTTTGATAATCACCTAATCACAGTAAAATTGTAATGCTAAATGTAAAACAATAAAAAAAACTAGTGCATGCATTGTAGGTTTGTTAAGTTGAGTGTGACCATGTGTACCTGATGTCAGGATATTTGGACACCAGAGTGGTGACCTCCAGGAACAGCAGTGTGGGGTCAGTCAGCTTGAAGACTTCAGCAATGGCAGCGATGGCACCACAAAGCGGATCTGTGTCTTCACCCTACCCCCAATAATCAACCAAAGTTAGGCATACCCCTCCAACTTTGTAGTAAGTCATTAAAATGTCAACAAATGTATTTGTGCTGTGTGGTGTCTGATTGTGGGATGTTCATACAGGCTTTGATACTGTTTGACTTTGACATGCATGGAGGTGTATTATATGTTCTTTTGCTCTTATCATGTTACTTCTCTTGTTTGTTATGTTTGTACAGTTTTGTAAGCCAATGCAGGCTGGGCACTTTTTGGTGCATGACACTTTAAAAAAATAAATCACCTACCTTAAAGGTCCAGTGTGTAGGATTTAGGGTCATCTATTGGCAGAAATGGAATCTAGTATTCATACTAGGGTTGTCAAACGCTGTATCCGGATACAATACTAATTTACAAAAGTATCGATACTAACAGTGCACGCCACCTCAACGCCTGTCGGGTGCGCACGACAGGTCCGACGGACACGCGCTGTGCAAGCAGCGTCTGGCAGGCACAGAGCCCTCGCTGCAACCCGGCTTGTTGTCGTCGCTGTGCATGTATGCACACATTTCTGTTGCTGTAATATGGCCAGCGTGGCTGCAGGAGGATCAGAGCAGCCAGTTTTGGTTAAAAATGATAAAGGAAAAAGCGCTCTTTGGAAATATTTAGTGAAGTGAACACAGCACGCTGCAGACGGCAGGTACAGCCCCTCCCCTCACTAGCAGCTGAGCAGCTGGTGTCGCCAGCATCAAACTAAAATATAACTTCTAATGTTAATGTGGGAGCTAAGCAGAAAACTGTATCAGTCATGCCCCTCTGTAACATTAATAGACAATGTTAGTTTAACAGGACAACACAATTATGTGTGTCTGAAAAGTTATGTTAACTGTAAAGTCACAGATTGAAGCTGAAAAAACATTTGGTTTCTCCCGTAACCCCTGGTTCTCTGATCACATAGTGAGGTAGAAACAGGAGCATCCCGAGCCTAAACTACCAACTCTATTTGATCAGCAACGAAAATATGGTGCCAATTCACCAGAAGCACAGAAAATAAACAGGGCTGTAGATAAATACATTTGTATGGACAGATCTTGTTTCTGTTTGTTTTTTATTTGGGGGGATTTTGTTGTTATTATCATTGATGTTACTGTTCTGATCTTTATTTAAAAAATGACATGCCTCTTAATTTTTTGCTGCTGTATCAGAAATGGTATCGAGTATTGAATATTTTCCTGGGTATTGATATCGAGTTTGAAATTTTAGTATTGTGACAACCCTAATTCATACCTATGTTTTCAATACTGTATAATCACCTGAAACGAGCTGTTTATGTCTAAGTGCTAAGTGGTGCATGTGGGAAGTTTTAGTTGTTTGCAATCTGCGACCTCACTGCTAGATGCCACTAAATCCAACACACTAGACCTTAAATATACTAACTGCCACAGTAACCCAGCTATGGAACTAACTGACCCATTTTCACTTTTTCAGCTCACCCTCGTTTGTGATTTTCCAAAGTAAAGCCTGATACCTGACTTTGAAAAACTTCTATCAGTGGATTGTAGACCCTGCTCACCCTAGCGTCACTTCGCTATTCAGCTTATTACTAGGGCTGGGCGATATGGCCTAAAAAAAACCCTCCGATTTTTTCACAAAAAATCCGATTCACGATTTAAATCAATTTTTTCCCCTCCTAGTTAAAAAAAAAAAAATATTTGCGGCCTGGTAGCACATACCTGGGGTCCAAAACTTTCAGCATGTGAATAAACCCTGGCTTTTCCACGGTAGCCTATATATGGGCACCATATCTCTTGCAATATACATGGCGACTGCATCTGTGATCGCTTTCCACCCTTTCTTATCATACGGCACTGTTTCCCTTACCATTATAGTGGATCACAACAGAAGTCATTTAAGGTTACCTTTCCTATAGAACAGGTCTATACCTTGTCCTTTTATTAAACAAACTAAATAGCCTTATGTTACAGGCTGAGCCTGATGTGTGTGGCTTGTGTGTGTGTGTGTGTGTGTGTGTGTGTGTGTGTGTGTTTGGAGCTGTGTATGTGTGTAGTTGATGTAGGAGGTATGAGACGTTAGTGCGCCGGGTGTGGTGTGTGACGTCAGACGGATGCGCCCTATAAAGAAAGTGAGGCAATGTGCTATGTTGTTTACGTCGAGCAGACAGAGAAGAAGCCTACGCAGTTCTGCATGCTGTTGTTGAGTTATTTCCCTCTATGTAAACGTCAGACACTGATGAGAGGCTGTGCATCATCCCTGCAGTGCTGAAAATAAAGTGCTGTTCTTTAACGCAGACAAAGTCCCGTTGTTTATGTGTTGTTGCCACAACAAGCTAACACAAGCTAAGGGAGCTAATGGTCTTCGGAGGTCCCTTTACTACGGTTCGGGGGTCTGCCAGCTTGGCGTTGGTAACACTTCATCTTATTTACACAACGGCATGTCATTTATGTCCCTACACGGTGCGCGTCTAAAATCCTCCTCTGCTCTCTGTGTCGCGCACGGCGGAGTTCGGCCCCTGATGCGCGCGCGCACACAGGTGAGCACAGACACAGGTGTGCACACAAAAGCGCTGAAGAACTCATTCCCTTTCTTGAGAACGTGTTCTTCCCCGCTCGCTGCCATGTTGTTTGTGTATCAAGCACGCAGGGGTGAGGGGTGAGCCCACTCTGAACTACCGGAGCCCAGCGTGGAGCGGCGGTGGCGGATTTTAAATAGAAACTC